ATCATTGTAGTGATCATCTCACTTGTAGCACCGTGTTCTACACACAGCACTAAGACTTTCGAGTGTTTGCGTGAGGCCAGGTTGCAGAAAAACACTAGCTTGGGTGTGAATAAAAAAGCAGAAATGAAATATTTTTCCTTTTAAAATGTTGGTCAGCCAAATCAGTAACACAAACCTGATTCTCATTCGGATTTCATGCGAGAAAATCAGATTGAAATTGATATTCGCATGTGTTAAAGTCTGACTTGTCTTAACATGATCAAGAAAAGGCTCTTTGCAGTTGCCGACAAACTTAAATAGAAAAATGATAAATGGACTTGAACGTGAAAATGCAAAAGTAAGAACCAGTAAGAAAGTCAAGGAAAAACTTTGACAACAAACATTCATTATTTATCGTCAGTCTTGTTGAAAGGAAGTTCACGTTGGTAGAAAAAGTAATTTGTCAGGCTAAAGATCATATGCTACCAAGCTGCAAATTACGGAACGTGTGCTCGAAGCGCTAGTGAAACGTATTTACTCATAATTCGTTTTTAAAATTATGCTATATTGTACCCTCTTGCCTGTACCTGTAGAAGTACAAATATGAGATGAATAGATTATAAAGGAACCCTGCGGATTGAAACACCCCTTAAATGCGACCACCTCGTTAACACAAGCGGACTAGTGACAAGAAGAAAGAGAATGTATAGTCAATTTTTAGTGGAAGCCCAAAGAAGCCCCAATTAAAACAATTACATTTCGAAAACCCTGCCGATTTTGTGGTTAAGGTCTCACCAAAAAATTCTCTGGAATCGCCAGTTGTTTCAGTTACTTCTCCAGAAGGAGCATCTCGTCAAAAGGGAGTATTTATCAGTCGTAACGTAACAGGACTGGAATAAGCACGTTACAACGCAGTTTAGAGAAATCAAAGGTGAGCAAACATCGGTGGATTGTAGAAAGTGTTTTTTTATGTACTTTCATCAGATTTAGCACTAAGCCAAGAATTATTCCCTTAACGTAATCAGAACCCTTACACAAATATACAGTTGTTTCTAAAGCTTCAAGAACGATACTAGTCTGCTGGGAAAAGCAATTTGCGAATCTCTTTGCCAGGTCTTTAATACGTCAACACCACTCGCTCACATTCCTGCTGTGAAAATCTTAGAGACAAGCAAAAACAAACTTCGTTGCCGATAGCCCACCTGATATTTAAATCAGATACGATTGTTGCTAAATTAAGTAATTATCCACAAATTTGGTCCCTGTAACAGTTCAACATCTTAATTATGTTACTCAAACTGAACTTTCTTGAAGGCGTCGAATATTTGATGAGCCTTTCTACTGGTTCCTTTTTGTCGCGAGTTTTCCACCACTTCCACCAACTTGTCGGTTAACGTTCTTAACAAAATCTTCTCTCTGCATATCAAGAATTGTTTTGTGTGGTAGCACCACTAGCGAGCCTTAACTATGACGTCAACGACGACGACGACCGAAACGAGAAAGTAAAAAGGCCCAGGGTTTTATAACCAAAAAAGATTTTCGTAGATTTCTTTGCTGGCATCGCACGGCTAACTTAGTCAATCATGATACGAATGGCAATACGATCATCGCTTTGTTCTCAAAAATCGTCGTTTTATCAATAGCGAACGTCGCATCTTGTATTTCGTAGGAAATAGCCACACAGAGTCAGACATGTGTTTCACTCCTCCACTCACGTAGGACTATAGTTTTTTTTTTAACTTACCCATTTATAGGTCTTCTTGAAGACCGCTTTTCCCCGTAAATAATGAATAATGATGTCTTTTGTTTACCCTCTGCAGTATTTATAGCACTTACGCTAAAGGGGCCGTGCAAAGCATCTGAAACAAATAATTCAAATCAAACATAACTGGGTTAAGAATCCCAACTGACCGGAGGCAAATCAGCTGGCTATTTACAAGCGTTACCGAGGAGTTGAACTCGGGACAACCGTGAACAAATCCAGCTAGCATGCAGTCAGGGCGGGACTTGAACTCGGGACCGCCGAATTACAAGTCCAGCGCTCAAACCGCTCGGTTATCTCATCTCATAGGTTATCTCATGTCAATGCCTTCTATTCACTGAACAGTCAGGTAACCTATAAGCAGGTCATACTGTCCAAAAAAGATCAGAAAAAAAGACTAACGATTTTTTTCTTAGTTGGATTGCTTAAGCCATTCTAGCCTGCGTAGCAAGCGTTTCTGTGCGGTTTCGGAGCAAAGAACGAGGAAGGAGAGTCAAAGGGGGCGAGTAAAATAGCAAGGAGGGTGTGGGAAGGGAAGGAAGGAAACCTTGCTTCCTTCCCCTCCCACTCCCCCCCACCCCCCTCTTCATTTTTTGGCTCTCGTTCCATTTTTCGCGCGGCCAAAACCAAAAATCACGTGAAAATCCTGTTCCTCGGTCTTTCTTTGCTCCGAAACCGAACGGAAACGTTTGCTACGCAGGCTAGAGCCATCCGTACATACCTTTTCCCCACTTGGCATCTGCATGAAAACTGAGCAACACGAGACCTAATCGTTCTATTGATCTAACGTTTATGTTTATTTTTCAGGAGACTGAATTTAATACTTACTAAGTGTCATGACGTTAATACTGATGATGTCCCTTAACCTCCTGGCATACACTCTCAGGGTAATTTCAGCAGATAGCACATTAGAGGAGCTCGGTAAAGGAGTCAATCTTCGGAAAACCAACTTACTAGACGACTTCCAAGAACGTCAGGCGAGCCTGTTTGAATCTTTGCCTCCATCTTGCTTTATAACAAAACAGCTTCATGATACAGGCAGTACCTTTGACTATTATACAAACACTAAAACCTTTTATTC